ATAACCTTGAACATATTCCATCTGAATTTAGAGATCATCTGAAGAACAGCTTTGATGCATTAGACACGAATGACCAAAGACCAGGAAAGTTGTAGTATGACATTAAAAACATCATACAGGAAGAAAACAAAAAGTCACTAAGAAGACAAGAAAGAAGGAAAAGACCAAAATGGATGTCAGAAGAGACTCTTTAGCATAGAGATGCTAACGCAAATGAAAATCATGAGGCAATAAAAGAGCTGAACAGAGAATTTCAAAAAGCAACTCAAGAAAACAAAGTCAAATATTATGATGAAATGTGCAAAGACCTGGAGTTAGAAAACCAAAAGGGAAGGACACGCTCAGCATTTCTGAAGCTGAAAGAACTGAAGAAAAAAATCAAGCCTTGACTTGAAATAAGGATTCTATTAAGCATGGCAACAGTAGTGAGGTTGGCCCAGGATTGGGCAATGTTTCATTCTGTTGTGATAAGGTCACAATGGGTTGGTACTGCCTCAATGGCGACCTAACAACTACAACAACATGGGCAAAATATTCTGTGATGCAGAAATCATCAAATGAAGATGGAAGGAATACGAAGAGTCATTGTACCAAAAAAGAAGTGGTTGATGTTCAACTGTTTCAAAAGTTAGCATTTGATCAAGAGCTGAAGGAAGGTACTGAAGGAAGAAGTCAAAGGTTCATTGAAGGCACTGACAAAGAAAACGGCTCCAGGAATTGATGGAATACAAATTGAAATATTTCAACAAACTGAGGCAGCACTGGAGGCACTCATTCATCTATGAAATGACATTAGTAAGACAGACCCCTGGTTAACTGATTCTAAGAGATCCGTATTTGTGTCCATCCCAAACAGAGGTGACTCAATGTAATACAGAAATCATCAAACAATATCATTAATATCACATGCAAATAAAATTTTGCTAAAGATAATTTTAAAATGGTTGCAACAGTACATTGATAGGGAACTGACAGACATTCAAGTTGGATTCAGATAGCTTGGAATAAGGGATATAAGACAACATCAGATGGATGTTGTCTGAAAGCAGAGAATACCAGAAAGATGTTTATCTGCACCTTATTAACTATAGGATTTCGACTGTGTGGATCATGATAAGCTATGGATAACATTGGGAGGAATGCATATACCAGAACACTTAACTTTGCTCATGAGGAATTTATACATAGTCCAAGAGGCAGCTGTTTGAACAGAACAAGAGGACTCTGAATGGCTTAAAATCAGGAAAGATGTGTACCAGGGTTGTCTTCTTTTGGCATACTTATTTAATCCATATATTGAGCAAATAATTCATGAAGCTGGGTTATATGAAGAAGAACATGGCATCAGGATTAGATTAAGATTCATTAACAACTTGCAGATATGCAGATGATACAACCTTGTTTGCTGAAAAAGAAGAGAACTTAAATGACTTTTTCCCCCCAAAATTAACGTTTTTATTAAATCAAGTTTAAAAATGTTCACTTTAGAAAAGTCAACAAGGGTTTTAACAAAACCAAAATACACCTTTTCATACAATGTATTTATATACTAGCAGCAAACTACTTCTGAGATTTTATGTCTTTTTAATTATTTACTTTAAAGAAAGCATAAACAATGTATATTAGTATGGAATGTCAGCAAATCCACTCTTTTATTTATCCTTTGTTCTGGGATTTTGGCCTTCTGGTATAAAATACTTTATGATTCTTATTAGTGAATAATAGAACCCAGTTTTGACTAAAAAGTAGTGAAGCAGTGTGGCTGGTAGAATCTGTCTTCCTACTTTATAATAAGACACATTATCTTTGAGAATAACAAATGAGCACCATATAAACAACTCTGTGTGTGTGTGTATACATAAAGTCAAATGTTAAGATGTAACAGCAGCCAACTAGACCACTTAGCATTTGAGTGCTTTCTGGTTTTGTTTGTGTGTGATATACAAAAATTTAATCATATCAGATACACACTTTAATCCTATATTGTTCATTTTAAAAATCCTTAATAGAAATTGTATGCAATCTGGAAAATTAGGCATATACAATGTACAGACAAACTTTCAGGGCTGAATTTCAAAACTGAAACAAAGTTTTCATTTTAATATATATTCAGAATATAGTAACAACAATG